AGAGGGGCAGCTTGATGAAGGGAGTTCTGGGTTAGGTTAAAATTGGGAGAGGGGATTTCTCATAAATCTGAAATTAGTTTCAGATTTAATTAAATTTGGCGGGGAATTCAAGTGGAAATTTGAATTCAAATTCAAATGAGAGCTAGGGCCTCATTAGGAAAAACCATGGTGATGCCCATTAATGGGGCCGGCAATTTCATCAGGGGAGAGAGGAATTATGGAGAGATTTTGAAAGTTTCCAAATAGATCTTTATAGACTAGGAAAGAAAATAAGTAATTCAATTTAATTTATTTTTAAATTGGATTCATGACTAAAACTTTTCTTATTTGGATTTTTAAATAAGGAAATCATTTGAATTTCAAATTTGAATTTCAAATGACTTAAATCTCTCCCTTAATTACTTGACTTAATTTAGGAAGGGAGAATGATAATTGAAATCATCATAATTGAATGGGAGCAAGAGGGGAGGCCAGCGACAAAGGGTAAGGGGGCGGCTGGTGTCGGGTTAAGGAAAGTATTTAAAATTCAAATGACTTAAATCTCTCCCTTAATTGCTTGAGTTAATTTAGGAAGGAAGTTATGATGATTGAAATCATCATAATTGAATGGGAGCAAGAGGGGAGGCTGGCGGCAAAGGGGAAGGGGGCAGCTAGGTGCCGGGTTAGATGGGGCTAGGTTGGTGGGTGGGCTTGGGGAGGTGGAGTTGTGGGGTGATTTGGGTGGAGAAGATGGCCGGTGGTGGAAGGACTAGGAGGAGTCGGCGGGTGGGGTGGGGAAGAGAGGAAAAGAAAAGAAAATTGCTTAAATCACGAGCTGCGGACTCTTCCAACGACTGGTGGGTATTGCGCTTGCTCTCACCTCGAGCCCTCTTTCCCTTCTCTCTAGTGCTCACACAAGAAGAAGAAGAAAACATAGAAAATTTTCATTAATCATTCATCATCTCATACAATGCAATAGGCCTCCCATAAATAGGCCCCCAAATGAAAGAAAAACCAAAAGACTAAAGTGCCCTCGGGCTACAACATAAACTCAATTCCCCATAGGGGTAAAATGGGAAAACTCAATTGCAACATAATACATAGAATAGAAAATACATAAAAAAAAAATACATACTCTGAATCGTAGACATCGATCTACGATTACCCGACGATGCACATGTCTAAATCTCTGGTAGATGTCCTCATCAGTCTTTGTAACCAATCATGCTTTGTATCTAATAAAATCTATCAACCTAGGTTCTCAGCCCTTTGTAACTGATCATGTTTTGTATATAAAGCTATCTTCCCCCGAGGTTCTATGTTTACGCTTGAAGATCTACTTACAACCAATCTTTCTACCTTTAGGGAGTTGAACTAAATATGAAATGCTATCTAATTCTTCTGCAAAGACTCCAACATCTCTATCATAGTTATGGTTCACTATCCCGATTCTCTTTAGTGACAACTTCTTTAAAAGTGCATTGCACATGATCACCAAAACAATCTACAACGCCCAAAGCCTAGGCGATCATAAGAGGATAAGAGGAATTCTCATAAGAAAATCTTTAAGGTGCTCAACTATATTTGGTCATATGAGAAATAGTTTCTTCTGGTTGCAGAGTGATTTTTATATTGAACTCCACTACTAGCCTTCATTGGAACAGCAAAATCATTCTTCAAGTGACCCTTCTTTCCACAATTCTAGCACACAACTTTCACTCTACATGAAGTAAACTTTCCTCTCTTTTATTCAGATCTCCCTCTACTTGGATTTCTCTATAAACCCCTTCCTCTTGCTTCAACATTCAGAACAAAATTTGAAGAATTGTTGTTCTCCTTCCTGCAAATCTAAATTCATAATGTCCTCAAAATTCAATTTTGAACTTCCTGAAGAGTTACTCGCAGCAGTAACCAACTCATCCTAACTATTTGGTAATGAAGATAACAATAGCACCGCTCTCACCTCATCATCAAACTTGATGTCAACTAAATACAACTGACTCATCACAGCATTCAGGTTATTTATGTGCTCTGTCATTGAAGTGTTGCCTAACATCTTCATATTGAATAACTTTTTTCATCAAGAACACTTTGTTTGAGGCTGACGGCTTCTCATACATCTTAGTCAGTGCAACCATAAAGTCGACTGTAGCCTTCTTATTTACAATGTTGAATGCAACATATGAGAAATGTGAAAGTCGAATCAAGCATAGTGCAATCCGGTCAAGAACGTCCCACTTCTCCATAGTCATTGAATTCGGCCTCTTGGTGATTCCTTCCAACGGTAAGTGCAACTTCTGATACAACAAATATTCAATTTGCATCTTCCATAATACAAAATTTAAACCATTGAACTATTCAATCATGTATCTTGTTTTGTTATCAATTACTCACACTCGAATTGAAGAACGTGGTTCTAATACCAATTATTGGGGGGAAGTAAAATATGTAATGAAATAAACAAGAAATAGAAAATGCAACGGAAAAGAAAGAACATTAGAATTTAAAGTGAAAAACCCCGAAACCGGAAAAAAAAAAAGAAAAAAAAAAACACAAAGTCACACCACACTAAGAAATTCACTATGAAAATTTGAGAGAAATAGTACAGATCTATTTTCTTTCTCGCTCTCTCCTTGCCTTCCCTTCTCTCTTGCACGGTTCTCAATTTAGAACTAACCAAGAGATATAATAGAAACCGCAAAGGGATGCAACTCTTAATGAAAAACGATAAAGAAAACTGGCTGGTCGATCTCACAGCGCTACAGTGCCAAGTTGGATTGCCGCGGCGCTCCCATTCTCTGATTTCAACTTACAAAACTATGCAGCACTGAGGCACTTGAGTACATAGCATTGAGGTGTTGTACGAGAAAAAAAATTTCAGGAGCAAAGCCGCCAAACAACGGCGGATTTACATGGGGTCCCGTGGGGGCACGTGCCCCCTCCGCCAAAAAAAATAAAACCCGTATGCGTGCATTTCGTTTGGCCTATTTGGGCGGTTCAACATCTTTTTGCCCTAATTTTTCGGCTATTCGCACAAGCCCTGTTCGGTTCCGCGCGGAGAACGGGAGAAGGAAGCAGCGTTCCTTCGTTCGCCTCTGCCTCCATCGCGAGTGCGCGACGCAGCAGCTTCCTGTTTTTCCAAAAGATTCGTCCAGTCAGCATTCAGTTCGACAGCCCGTACCTCTGCAGGCCGTGCGGCTGTGTTGCTGTGCATTCACTCGCTTATTCTCTCGAGCAATCCCATCTTCAGTTTTTCCAATCAAATAGCTGAAGTGTTGAAGGTTAGTACAATAGTACCTCTCAAAATTTCTTTACATTTCGTTTAATTTTGTTGTGTATCATTTCATCCGATGATATTTGGTTTCTATGTAAGTCATATACTCATATTGATTTCATTTGTATTTCATTTTTGTGGATTGCAACTTCGTTTGTTGAAAGATTTTGTTATTAATTTTTAAGCTTTAGTTAATTAGTTTGCTGTTTAGGTCAAAAAAAGAAAATTTGTTTGCATGCCAAATGTTTTTTTAATGCTTCAGTTTAAATGTAGTTCTGTTTAGGTAAAAAAAAATCATTATAGTCTTTCATTAAAGTATATTAGTATGTTTTATAAATTATAATGTTTTAGTTTAAATTTTTAATTTAGATCAACTTATAGTATTTGAGTTATATATGTTTTAGGTGTTTTGTTTTTGCACAAAGATTATGGAGAAGTATTTTAAGAAGGCCTCACAATCTTGCATATCAATATCAATAGAAGATTCAAGAACGAATGATGAGGAAAAAAATAAAAAAAGAAATCGAACATTTGGTGAATCATCAAACAACGAGCTTACAAATGTAGAGAACCTTCAATCAGATCCTGGTTTACGTATACCTATTTCTGAATTTAGTTTTGATATTCGTGATCAAATTCGAAGAGCATATTTGCAAAAAGGATCATGTCAACCTCGCAATCATGACTTTCCAAAGAGTAAGTTTGGAATAAAAGATAGACGTTTCAATCCGAAGTGGTTTGATAAATACTCCAGCTAGTTAGAGTATAGTATTCAAAAGGATAAAGCATATTGTTTATATTGTTATTTTTATGGAGTAGAAGGTAGAGGAAAAGAAGAGGATGAAGCATTTCGCAGAAATGGTTTCTCGAATTGGAAAAAACCAGATAGAATTGATATTCATATAGGAGGACCAAGTAGTGTTCATAATAATGCAAGACAAAGTTGTGATGATTTAATGAATCAAGATCAACATATTAACTTTGCCTTGCAGATGCAGTCTGATCGAGTTACAAATGCTTATCGTATCCGACTAAATTCTTCCATTGATTGTGTAAAATTCCTTCTAAGACAAGGATTGGCTTTTCAAGGGCATAATGAAAGTTTTGACTCCAAAAATCAAGGAAATTTTCTTGAGCTACTGCAATTCTTATCAAATCATAATGAAGATATAAAAAATGTTGTACTGAAGAAGGCTCCTGAAAATTTGAAATTAACTGCCCCTGAAATTCAGAAAGATATTTGTAGAGCCATCTCTAGTGCGATTACAGACTATATAAAAGCAGAGGTTGGTGACAATTTCTTCTCTATTCTTGTTGATGAAGCTCGTGATGTATCAGGAAAAGAACAAATGGCTATCATTATACGATATGTGACTGAGAAAGGGCAAATTATTGAACGTTTGTTGGGTATTGTACATGTTCCTGAAATGTCAGCTCAATGTCTCAAAAAAGGAGTTGAAGAAGTCCTCTAAAATTATAGTTTGTCTTAATCTAAAATTCGCGGTCAAGGTTATGATGGTGCAAGCAACATGAGTGGAGCATTTAATGGTTTAAAAGCACTTTTTTTAATGAAAATAACTCTGCATATTATATTCATTATTTTTCACATCAGCTACAGTTAGCTTTGGTTGCAGTTACGAAAAATCATGTTCAGATTGCACTATTATTTACTATAATTTCAAATGTGATGAATATTGTGGATGTTTCATGCAAACGTCGTAATCAACTAAGAGACAAACAACGCGATATGACATTAAGTGCATTACACAATGGTGAGGTGTTTACTGGACGAGGATTAAATCAAGAAATATCTTTATGGTGTCCTGGTGAAGCAAGATGGGGTTCTCATTATGAGTCACTAATCAGATTGATTACAATGTTCTCCTCAGTTGTTCATGTGCTTGAAATAGTTTTGGAGGATGACATAAGTTCTGAACAGAGAGGAGAAGCATTTGCATTATTAGATTCAATTCAATATTTTGACTTCTCTTTTTGTTTGCACTTAATGAAAGACATACTTGGAATCACTGCTGAACTATCAGATGCTTTGCAAAGGAAAGATCAGGACATCGTGAATGCAATGTCTTTAGTTCAAATATCAAAAATCAGATTACAAGACATGAGAGATAACAAGTGGGATGCCTTCATTACAAGAGTGTCTTTATTTTGTGTTGAACACAAAATTATCACTCCGGATCTAAATGATAAATGGATTGCTCGTGGACGATCACGACGTGGACATCAAGAAATGACAAATTTACATCATTACCGAGTCGATATATTCTACACAGTACTTGATATGCAACTACAAGAGTTGAATAATCATTTCACAGAAGCTAATACTGAATTACTTTTATGTATTGCTTGTTTAAATCCATCAAATTTGTTCAGTGCATTCAACAAAGACAAGTTAATTAAATTGGCAAACTTATATCCAAGTGATTTCACTTCTTCTGATTTGATGATTCTTGATAATCAGCTTGAAACTTATATTACGGATATGAAGCTTGATGTACAATTTTCATTATTAAAAGATATCGGAAGTCTTGTTGAAAAAATGATTCAGAGTAGGAAGGAAATACTATATCCCCTTGTTTTTAGGCTATTGAAGTTGGCATTAGTACTACCCGTTGCAACAGCAGGAGTTGAAAGAGCATTTTCTGCAATGGCAATCATAAAAAATCGGCTACGCAATGGAATTGGGGATCAGTGGATGAACGATACTTTAATCGCTTATGTTGAAAAGGAAATTTTAGATTGTATTGTCAATGATGTTATTATTCATTTGTTTCAAAATATGAAGAACAGAATGTATAAATTGTAAGCAGTGGCGGTCCCAAGCCCGTTGATTGTAAGTGTACTTTATTTTATATTTAGAAGTTTATGTTTTAAATAAAAATTTTTAAAACTGCCTATGCTGGTCCCAAGCCCGGATGAAAAAAATTGAGGGAAATTTTTAATAAAATAATTTAGGCCCCCCTCAATAAACTTTCTGGCTCCGCCACTGCCGCCAAACCTAAGCAGGGTGTGGACCCCCAACAAGCTCAACAGATTGAATTGTGAGGTTCAAGGCAAAAGTATAATCAGATTGATCAACACAATCATATTCCACACAGAACTAACAAACTCAAGCACGTTCATTTTGAAATATATGTAGTAGCAATTTGGAAAGTACATTAACTGAAGTTATTCGTAACTTCCAATTTATCTTAACAACAGAATATCAATCGAGAGTTGTAAATGTACATATCTATTTTTTCACAAAACAACAGTGTAACAGAACCAAAAGCAGAAGTTTAGCAAATGGGAAAGGGAAAGAGGTACCAGCTTTTATAGAATTCTAGGGCATTGAAAAGTTGGAAACAAGCAATCCTCATCAAAAAGCTGCTGAACAAATAAAGAGTAAATTTACTGCCCTACAGAGAGTATGATGTGTTCATGTGCGAATGTGTATACATATGTACTGTGCTTTGCTCCTAAAATCCAATATTAGAACTAAGGAAACAGAAAAACAACAACATCAAACGGTTTATTAATTGAAATAATAAGTAGATAAAAGAAATACTGTCTTGATTTGGGAAATCATATTGAACCACCTATGATTTCTTAACTCTGGCCTGTGCAGCTTTGGCAGATGTGGACCGCTCGGCCTGAGAAAACAAAATAAATGCGTGCATGCAAGCAGTGACCAGAAACAGAGATAGAGTTGTAAAAGCTACTCCTTTCCATGTTGACATCAATGCTGACCATATGAAGAACCTGTAGGAAGCAATCGATAGCAGACTCGCCCAAGAAATAACCACCTAATATGAGAAGATTCAACGATAGAGGAGTCAGAGAAGTCGGTCGCTGATGCAGAAACTCATGAAAAGACAAATCTAGCATGTATAATAGTTTACTATCCTTTATTATTTGTGTGCCCCCATAATCAAACATGGAACATTGACGTGCTCGCTAATAAATCAATTTAAATCTTGTCTGTTTGCGTTTGACTCAATTAAAACTTGACTCATCTCCATCTTCTGTCTTCTTTTTAGTGATTTGCATAAATTTTCCAAATTTCATTTCAGAGGATCATGATATGCCCTGATAATTTTCATCAGAGAAACTTTTATCTTTGTGACAAATTACTTGCTTATATGCAGTTATTAATTTGTTCTTATTATAATGAACTCCCTTCATATGGACACTTGTTTTACTTACCGTGAAGTTTGCAGTTTTTTTAGGTTTATCTTTTTAATATTTTCTTTTAAATTATTTTTTCACAATAACTTTGGTGCTATGATTTTACTAAAAACAAGGACAAGACCAAAATTTAAAATGAAATTTATCTATTTTTAACCTGTACTTTTCAATTTCTTTAAAATATACCTTTTACAAAATTAAAATGAACCTTAGTAACAATTCGGTAGATCTGCTTTAAACTGCAGCTTATGATTTTGATGGACCGGCCGATTTGATTGGGAGGGAATTAGAAAGTTTTCTAATCAAGATGGAGCTGTTTAAAATGGTTTTTAATTAAATGGTAATTGTTTAGAAAAGTTTAAATAATAATTGAAGGACATTATTTAGGGCAAGAGATCTAATTTGAATTCAAAATCTAAGAGGGAATTATTTAGAGAAAGGGTTGAGGAATCAAGGGGGAATTGTTTAGGAAAGTTTTAATTATAATTGGCAGGGAATTATTTAAAGCAAGAAATCTTATTTGAATTCAAATATGAGAGAGAATTGTTTAGGGAAATGGGCTAATTTAGGAGGGAATTATGAGAGCCTATTTAAGGCTAACAATAGAGTGATTCAGAATTAGGAAGTTATTTGCTAAATTTAGATTGTTCTTGGGGAGTTTTTGGCTTTAACCGGCTGTTAGGGATTTGAAATAGTCGGATCTTCCTCTCCAATGAAGATCTATTGTATCTTGTTGTTTTTTTCCGTATATCATCAATTAAAAAGAGTTTTATCTAATTATTGCTCTTAATTCCTCTTGGAGATTATGTTTGGGATTGCAATACTTTAATTTCAGCCAAGTGAGACAGAATTTTTACATGTTACTTCCTATCCATTTGGTATCATAGCTGTGTCCTGGGCTGAAATATAAGTCATCCTCACTGATTTTTGTTGTGTTTGTTCCCTTTGTCTTGTTGATTTTTGTTGTTGGAAGACCATTCGTTGTTTTTTTCTATTTCTTTTGTTATTTGTAGCCTAAATCTGAGTATACCTATGGCAGGAAGAACTGTAGAAACGCTGGAAAGGGACAATTGATATCTAATTTTGTAGAAAATATTTCAAATTTTAAAGAGAAATTTTCAGCCATCCATGAGAAAATCGATAAGAAGTTTGTCATCATGGAGGAGATGATGAGGAAGATGCTCGAGTTCCAAACCAAAATGACGTCGTCGGAGGCGTTGTTCCAGCCAGTTAAGGAGAAAAAGATGGAGAGAAGATAGAAGCACCAAACATGGTTCAACAACCCCTACATTAGTATCGAGGGGTGTTCCAGACAGTTAAGGAGTTGTCTCCTCCGCGAGAATGCAAGCATGCTATCATCTTAAAGGAAGGAGTCTCGTCTATCAATGTTCGTCTGTACCATCATCCCCAAATCTAGAACAAAGAGATTGAGAGATTAATCAAGGAGATGCTTGAGGCAAGGATCATTCGACCCAATGACAATCCATTTTTCAGTCCAATGCTTCAGCAACAGTTTCCTTCATTCCCCTTGAGGACAAGATGACACTTTGGGAGGGGTGTATTGATGGACTGGCCAATTTGAGGGGATGAAAATTAAAAAGTTTGTTGATCAAGAGGGAGCTATTTAGAAAGGTTCTTAATCAAAGGTGAATTGTTTAGGAAAGTTTTAATTGCAATTGGGAGGGAATTACTTAGGGCAAGAGATCTAATTTGAATTCAAAATCTAAGAGAGAATTATTAAGAGAAATGGAGGAAAAATCAAAGGGGAATTGTTTAGGAAAATTTTAATTACAATTGAGAGGGAATGGGAATTATTTAGGAAAAAAAAATTGATTTGAATTCAAATATGAGAAAAATATTTAGGGAAGGAGATTGATTTAGGAAGCCTATTTAAGGCTAACAATAGGATGATTTCAAGATTATGATGTTATTTGCTAAATTTAGATTGTTCTTAAGAAGTTTTGGGCTCTAGCCGACAACTAGGGATTTGGGCGAGCAGGATCTTCCACTCCAATAGAAGATATATTGTATCTTGTTGTTTTCTTCCATATATCATCAATTCAAAAGAGTTTTCTCTTATTGTTGCTCTTAATTCCTCTTGTAGATTGTGGTTGGAATTTATGTAATTTAATTTCAGCAATTTAATTTCAGCCAAAAGAGATTACAAGCACTTCCTATCATATTTTAATTTAATTTGACGTGAATAGTTGTGAATAGTTATGAGAAGATTAGAGAATATTCAAAATTGCCAAATTTTGATTCATTTCATTAGTTTTATCATGACTGTTTCACGAGATAATTGCATTAGTGTGCAGCTGCTATCTTCCGGTGACTTTTATTCTCGCTCTTTTCTTATCTCACTATTTGTATACGAGATTGAAATTTGCTCAAGTTCGTGTATGCCAATTTTTATTGTTGCAACATAAATCTAGATCATAATGCAATTTTACGTTTGTTCTCAAATTTCTTATGGAATTTAAATTTTTGCTTCCTTCGTATCAACCGTTTGAAACAATGGAATGTGTTTTTATATTTTTTATATAAAGACACAAATCTTTGCCTAAACTAAGAGTTAGAAACTTCAAATTGTGAAATTTTATGAGTGTTTTTTAATAAATCCCATCAACATATGCATTTGGAAATCCCATACCCTAAGATGTACACATCAAATTGATACTAGAGCTGAAGGTCATATCAAAATGACTAAAGCATTAAAGGTAACAACACATCACCAAAGGGATGAAATTTGATGTTCGTATGTATTAAAAAAATACAACAGAAGAGAATAAAAAAACAATGTCCGCAAAGAACCAAACCATGATCATGACCACGTCGTCCTCACATTGCAATTGAAGAAACTGCTCTTTGCGTTGTATAAAATGACAAAGAAAGGAAGAAGGGTTACGCGAACTTACAATCAACTTTGTTGTTTTGGGCCTCTCGTACCTCCCGATTTTTTTCACATGAAACCTTGCCTCCAGCGCCTCCTTCGGCGAAACCAACACGCCTCCTTTCACACAGGGCAGAACGTCGCCAAGCCGCCGAACCTCTCGCACCCTGCCTTCGATTTCTGCAAAACAAGCCCCAATCCCAAGCCTCCATGCAAACCTTGCCTCCACCTGCTTCGATCCAAATCCAATCGTGGCCCACACGCGATTCAAGCATGTGAACCACCTCTGATCAGACCTGTCTCAGGAGAATAGTCCACCTACTATGCTTGCAGACTTCCACCAATTAACGGAAGGGAGGCAGGATTCGAATCAAAGCAAGTGGAGGCGAGGTTCACACAAAGGCTTCGAATTGGAGCCTGTTTAACGAAAATCGGAGGAAGGGTGTGGGACGCTCAGCGGCTTGGTGTTGTTATGCCCTGTGTGAAAGGAGGCGAGTTGGTTTCGCCGAAAGAGGCATCAGAGGCAAGGTTTCACGTGAAAAATATCGAAAGGTACGAGAGGCCCGAAACAGCAAAGTTGATCGTAAGTTCGTGTAACCCTTCTTCTTCCTTTCTTTGCCATTTTATACGACGCAAAGAGCAATTTCTTCAATTGCAATGTAAAGATGACGTGGTCACAATTGTTGTTCGGTTCTTTGCTGACGTTTTTTTTTTTCTACTTTTCTTTTTTTTATATCCGAACATTTGATTACCTTGCAAAACAAATTAAAATATTCTTTAGCAATAGAAGATCAAATTAGCAAAGAAATAAATCATGTTAAAGATCATATGAGAACATAAATAAATCAAGTAAAAGGATGCTTAACACTTTTGAAACTAATCAACTTCAACTACAAGAAACAACTATTGAATTTAGCTTTAATGATGAACTCATTCATAACACTACTGAGATGAAAAATTCATAGTGAGAGATACAATTGTGACGGACATTATAAGAATATATGGTAATAAAAACTACAACAACCATATAAGTCAACCTTATGAAATAGACCAAGACATTACATTGGAAGTTAAAATTGACATGTCTATCTTAGATAGATGATAGTTCTTCCGGTTTTTTCAACTGGTAACGGATATGAATAACTTTTGACCAATGATGACGTCTAAATAACGATAAGATTTACAATAAACATCAACGGGCAAACCAAAATGTATCAGATGAGTATGGAGAAAAAAGAGGGAAGATCAAAACTATAACCAACCACAACTTGGGTAATCTGAAATGAAATTGTTATTAAAAGAAAAATATATGTTTTTATCTTAAGCCTAATTGATTACTTGATAAATTTAACTCGTCAAAATAAAGAAAAAAAAAAGAATAATTAAATGAATGAATAAATTTACGAAGTTGATGACGTTCAGAAAAAAAAAATCTTAAAACAATAATTTTTAGGTTTAGATCTACTTTGATAATTGATTTTAAAAGAAAAAAAGAAATCATATAGCTTATTCATTTGAAAAGGCTTTTCAACTTGTCATAGATCTTGAAGTGTTCAAATTTCTCACAACTAAAAGAAGTTCTTCATACATTGAAAATACGCCATTTTGGCAAAATACTCAATTTCAAATCATTGTACACTATTGGTAAAAAAAATCTTGCAAAAACAAATATATTACTACTGTATATAGCTCTAAATTTTTTTCTGAGGGATCTTTAAAAAGACGTCA